TTAGATTTCACAAATAAGTAAAATCATACGGTATTTGTCTTTGCCTGGTTTATTTCACTGAGGGTAATACCCTCTAGGTCCATGCATGTTGTTGCAAATGGTGAGATTACTTTCTTTTTTATGACTGAATAATATTCCATTGTGTTGTTCCATTGTGAATCACTGATAAAATCAAATATTTAAGGTAGAAGTGAAATCAAGTCTGTACAAAATATTGTAGAAAATAGAAGATGAAAGAAGACTTCTCAATTTATTTTATATGGCTAGTATTGCCCTAATACCAGAATCAAAAAATAAACTTCACAAGCAAATTGCACATTTATATCCTTTATGAACACATATGCAAAAAAAATCTAAATACTTAATAAATCAAATCCATCAATATGTAAAATATGTAAAAAGATGTCACAAATAGGATTTATCTCAGAAATGCCATCGATTTATACTTGAAATATCAATATAATTCCTTATTTTAGCAATATAAGGAAGAAAGTTTTATCATGATATCAACAGATGTAACAAAAGCATTTGAGAAAATTTAGCACATAAACATGACAAAAGCTATTAGGAAAGGGTAAATGAAAGGAATTTCCATCAGCTGGTAAGAGGGCATTGATGAAAATTGTATAGCTGAGATGGTACTTGGCAGGAAACCCTGAAATGTTTATGCCCTAAAATTGGAAACAAAGCAGGGATTTGTTCCTTACTAATCCCTTACTACTTTTATTTAACATTGTGCTATGCACCTAAAGAGAAAAGCTCCAAGCTAAATTGTCTAGAAAGCATAGGAGCAAACCTTTGGGTTTTGATATAAGCAAAGAATTCTTAGTACATAGAAGTACACACCATAAATGAAAAAAATGATGAATATGACTTTACCAAAATAAAAACTTCAATTCCTGTAAGGAACCACAGGTTGTCATTTCACATGCCTGACAAAAGACTCATTCCCAGAGGCTATGAAAATCTCTCAAACTCAATAAGAAAAAGATAAAAATATAGACAAGGGATTTGAACTGATACTTAGCCAGCAATAATACACAAATGAGAAATAAACTCATGAAATGATGCATAACAACATTAGTCATAGAGTAACAGGAATTAAGATTACAATGAGAATAACACTACACATTCCCTTGAGTGGATGCAATTATAAGAACTGATAACAAGTGTTGACAGGATGTGGGCCATCTGGAGTTGTCATATTATTACTAGTGGGAGTGTAAGATACTACAACCAAAATATTTTATAACCTAGAATAATCTTAAGAAATACTTTTGCAGTTTCTAACAACTATAAACTCATACTTAAAAATAATGACTGCTCTGAAGTAGTAACTAACAAATTGAAAAGGTATGAATATAAAGAATGTGAATTTTATAGGAACTTTATTTATGATTGGCCCCAAATTGGAAATCAATGTGCATCACCAGTGAATGGATAAACAAATAAAGGTATATCCCTTTGCTGGAAGACTACTCAGCAGTAAAAGGATAGTCTGTGCTGAGAAAATGAATCCAGACATAAAGCATTTATTACTTGGTCATATAAAATTCTAGAAATGACAAATCTATAAATACAAGCAAAAAGAAAGCAGGTCAGCTGTTGCTGTGAGCAGGAGGACAGGAATGGCCTGCCAAGGGGCAAGAACAAAACTTGGGAGGTTCGAGATGCTCTGTGTCTTGATTGTGCTTGTGGTTGCATGGGTGTATACATTTGTGAAAACTCAGCAATCTGTATTGAAGTGAGCATGTTTCAGTTTGCATAAATTGCACTTCAATATTACAGATTTTGAATTTTATTTTAAGATGTTACTTTAGCCTCTCTAAAGTGAGTATTTTGTAAATCAACTTATTTAACTCTTTCAAACTGATCTTTTACTCTACTTACGTGCCACACTAGTTAATACCTGGTTTCAAGTTAATCTGGTTTAGTTTTTAGCATTTTGTTGCTTAACTCCAACTGAACTTCACTGAGATGGAAAAAATGGGGCACACACACTCGAAGCAATGCAATGCTATAATCTAGTGTGTTATTAAAATGCTAAAATGAGACTCAGAGAATTGTAGAAATTCACAAAAAAGAGGTTACTATCAATAAAATGAGGGTTTATGGCAAGTGTGGATATGAGCCAAGCCTTGGAAGATAAGGTAGGGTTTGGTTAGGAAAAGTCATAGGAGATTTCAACAGCAGTATGGAAGGACAGAGAAGGCACTGGTCTGGGTGGACTAGAAAGTTTAAAAAGTTAGCTTTGAGTAAATGTTGAACTGATTTGAAATGTAAATGTTTTAAAAGAGACTTTGCATGCCAATTAATACAATGTCTTTTCTAATTCAGAAAGGAAAGGCCCAAATGACAGAAATTCAAGCAGGTCAGTCAGAGGGTGTGTTGAGTGTAATAGCCACTAACACTTTTTGAGTGTTTACTATCTGCCCGACGAGATGCTGAGTATTAGGTAACTGTAAAAATTTATGACAACAACCCTATGAATTAGAACTATAATCATCCCACCATATAGATGAGAAAACTGTGTCACAGAGAGCTTAAGTAGCAAATTCCATATATTCAACAGGTGAGTGATGGAGTCTGGATCTGATATCAGACGTTCTGACCTACTTGTCTCCTGTTTTATGTTATGTAGGCCATAGAAAGCCTCTAGGGATGTATTAGCAAGGTGGGGAACATAACTTATGGGTGGTAAATGTAGCATTTAAATTATAGTGACATTTAAACCTTGTGACAGCATACTGAAGGTTTAAATGCAAACAGACCAATGCAATTTAATTTCATTGCAATAGGATAATGGTACCTGGCAGTTGATGGGAAGGTAGAGACATTCAAATTATCATCTCTTTCATAAGCCTTCCTCTAATGCTACATGAGGTTTATTGTTTCTTTGCTGCCACTGCACCATCTTCCCATTGATTACACTAGCTTTTAATGACTATATTATGCACATTTATTCCCCTCCAAAATCTATCAGGACATAGACTTTCTCATAAACTTTCCTAAATTAACCATCTAGCATAATGCTTAGATACAAAATATGCAGAGTATATAGTATATGTAATATTTAAATGAATATAAAGCAAGTGATAGAATGAAAGAATACGGAGAGAGAAAACTTCTAATTTACTGTTTACATGTAAGGGATAAAGTCACTGTTCAAGCTGAAGATGATTTAGGCATTGTGGAGGCCTTTTGTTTTATCTTTGGTCACATTTCTTTGATCATTTCCATCCAAACATACCACATCTTCAGCTCCCTTACCTACCCACCATAGTGAACTAGTATGAATCTGCGTGTGCATTCCGCTGCAAAGCGTGATTAGAGCCACTAGGTGGCGCCAGTGTACCTTTGTATCGGGTGTGTGGGCGTGCCTCAGTAAACTAATTTTATAAAAGATTTGAATGACGTTGTAGTATTTCGATGAAAGAAACAGTATCAGATATGATTTAGTGGGCAAGTTCTGGCGGTGGAGGGCTTACGTGGAATCCTGGCTGTGCAGGGTACCAGCTGAGAATGCAAGCAAGTCCCTTCACCTGTTTGGCTCTGCTGCCCAATCTAAAGTGGACCTAGTAATAGCACCTACTTCATACGGTTGATCTAAGTGTAACGATACTGAACTCGGGTGAAGTTCTTAAACTATTTTTCAGGCATGTATTAGGCACTCAAAAATGTCTTTTTTTGCCTTCAAACAATATTAAGTAATTTGCTGCAGATCAAAAACGACTGATGCTAGATGTCTCCCTCCCTCTTCTTTCTTTCCTTTCACCTCAGAAGTTTATTATATTGTATTTCTCACAACTTTTACAATATGGTCACTAAACTCTGTAGTCTCTAACTTAAAAATATGGATGATTTCTTACCACTCGAGGCTGCATCATCATAGCCTGTATTAAGGTAATAGCCTCCCTGGAAGTCTCCCTTCTGTCCTTGCACCCCACTGTCTCCCCTCAACACACGTGACAGTGTGATCCAGTAAAATGCAAACCAGATTAGTCACTCCTCACTTGAAAGGCCCTTTCCCACTCTGAACTCCAGGATAAACTGCAGTGGCTTTAGTGCAGTTGATTTCAGAATAAAGCAAATAAGGCAGGTGTTTTCTTCCATGTGAATGCTAGTCTTTCTGCCCTCAATCTCCTCTTACTCTGTGCTGCTGATTTCTCGACTTCCTCTGCAGTGGGCATCTTCCTGATCTGGAATGGAAGGCCTGCCCTTCACTCCTTGAATGTTCTTTAGGTGGTCACACAGCCCACCCCTCCCTGCCTTCTCGAGGAAGCCTGCCCTGGTCACACTACCCGGTCACCATCACTTCCGTATTTTTCATGAGGATTCATCTTTTCTTCCTTAGCACTTACTACCTTCTAACATGACACATTTAATAATGTTTTATCTGTCTCACCTGGGTAGAACGTAAGCTCCGTCATGGTCTCTTATCCATGGCTGCTTCACCAGCCCATGGAACTGTGTGTGCCTGCTGCATAGCAAGCCTTAGAAAATGAGGATAGAGTAAATGAATGGATAAGGACCAGTTGTAATGTAACAGTGATTTGTTTGGAGTCATTCTTGCTTATTCAAAGATGACCAAAGGTCCCTATCCTCAAAGCAGTTTTATTTAGTGGGGGGAATAGTATCACAGGAATTACAATTACCTTGCAATGCAAAATGTGCTAAGTGCTATAGTAGTAGAAATAGTATGCTTATACCAGAACATTGGGAAGGATATAATACTTGCAGTTGGGAAGATAAATATTGAATAATATGTTTAAATAGCTCTACTTTGCAAGTTCAAAGAGGAGCCTTCAAATAGATTTTCTAATGAGAGTGTTAAATTCTCACTTGGAGTTATATAAATAACTTTGCAGTTGCAGTCTTTGGAGTGTGACTTCTCCCAGCCTGATTGCCTCTCCTTTCTGTTTGCTGAAGACTTGTCCTAAAGGGACTCTGTGGGTCTCACAGCTTGGCTTGTGTTAAGCTAATGAATCCTTGCTTTTCAGAAGGAGCCCTTTTGTGCTGCTGATAGAACTGCAGATTAGCCCTGTTGCAGCTCTGACCACTCCAATTTAAACTAAAGGTAAAATGGCACTTTCTTCCTCCTTGTTTCCTCTTCCCTTTAACTAATTATGTGTAATGGGGGCAAGAGGGAGAAGTCTGACTAACATTTTGTTTGTCTGAATTGCTTAGAGGAACAGTTTTATGTGCTTTTAATTTATATGTCCTTTCTATCACCATAAAAAATGATGCTTGCTGTTTAAACACTTCAGGAGATAGGCCTATATAAAGTATCACTTAGAATTTGTCTTAATTCCACTCCCCTCAGTTTTCATTTTGTAAATACTTGAATAGTTTTAGATCATATTTTGAAAACATTTGTGCAATCTGCTGTGTCCCTTTGTAATGGCAGGTGAAAATTCTTTTGAATAGCTTCACTTTACAGATGTTTTCACAGTTTATTTAATGATTTAATTGTCAGTGGAAATTTGAGGTGTTAATTTCTTTCTGGTAATGATGACAATATTTGGTCTTCTGGAGGAACAGTATATTAAAACTAAAACCCTCCCCCTCCAAACACCACAATAAAATGTAACATTCTTTTCAAAATATACTTGATCTCAGGAGAAAGAAGAAACTCTGGGTGTAAATACCAGGGGATAAATGAAAACCAGGGAGTCAGCAAATAAGCTGGCATCGGAGATGACCTTGTGGATGTGAGACAGGGACCATGGGTTTAGTCAGAGTAGGGTGAGGGCTTCTGGGAAAAACAGGGCGGAATATTTACAGTCAGAGCAATGTAACAATGGGCAAAGAAGTCCTCACTGAAACTCTGTTAAGCATTATGCAAAGTCAAGGTCACACTAATTCTGTAGGGGAAGATACCTAAGAATATAGACATCTTCAGTGAGATCAGTTAAAGGTCAAAAGGCTGGGAGCAACTTGGTCTGGAATGTTTGAGTGTCCTGCAAGGGTATCAGCATAACCTGTGACTCCCGCTGTCAGCCCTGGCAATCAGACTGTGACCCAGCCCACCTTGAGGACAGGGCAGGTGATGCGAGTCCATACCACTAAGTCTTTTTTTGATGTTCTCGAAAAATCCTCAATTGTCTATAAAACTCCTAGACAACGCACCATCACGGGCTCTCTTGTCCGCTCCTGGCATGAGCCAGGAGCTCTATTCTCTCACTTTATTTCTAAATAAAAGCCTGTACCTCGCTCTCCTACCTTGAGTGTTTGTGAAGCTCATTCTTCGGCTTCGTAAACAAGATGGTTGGGAGAGTAGGGGTTGGTTTGGAGAACTATTTGTCTTGGGTTTTAGTGTTTAATGTGGGACCTTACAAAAGGGCAGGAGAACATTATGGGGCCAGTGTAGCACAGACAACTAGTCTTAAACATATGAGGTGGTACCCTCAAAGGATTAGACCTTCAGTAAAAGTATAAAATAGGAAAAAAAAAAACCACTGACACTGGAAGATAGGCAGAAAGTTCACTTCTCCATTCCTGGGTTTTCAGTAGAAGAATATTATCTCTAAGAATTCAAAATCATAGATGGGTGTGAATTTCGAATTTACTGTACCCCGCCCACATGAATGGAGACCTCCAGGAAGAGAAGCCACCGTGAAACTTGATCCTAAACTGGTGATTCTCCTGGACACCGGGAAGGAGCAACTGCAAATCAAATCTAGAGAAATTCTCTGACTCTCAAGAAGAAAAAAATGATTCTCACTGAAAAAAAGCCCAGTTTCAAAGTTCTCACAATAATCATTGATATGCACTTAAAATCAGTTTTCCAGAAGGATGGACAGTGAACTCTAGAAGCAATAGAATTAAAACGCTAATAACTTGAGACAATTAATAATGATCTGAAAGAACATTATGGAAAAAATAAGACTTGAAAAGAAAGCAAATAAATTCTGTAAATTCAAAACTTCTAGAATTAAAAAATGCAGTATCTGTTTTAAAGAGCTAATAAACAGCTAAGTATGGAATTAGTAAACTGGAAAAAATATCTGAAAAAGTAACAGAAAATTCCACAGAGACAAGAAATAGATGATACAAAGATAAGGTTAAGAGAGGTTAAGGGACTTGGAAGATTGAGTGGCAGGAACAGACTTTTGGAGCAGGATTTACAGCAGGATAGAATGTAGACAATGCCAGAGAGCCACTATTTCACATATTATATAGTAAGTGAAACCTTGGTTTAGACAAAAGTAACCTGTTGACTAACACAATGAAATTGCTGAATATCTGTGAGAAAAGTTTCTTAAGAATAAATAGAATAACAGTAACCCACCGTGGGGTAAATTGCAGTATTTCCAGAATCCCCTGCCTTTCCTTAGTCCATTTACATATCAATAGGTGTGCGGGAGAGGGGCTGTTCTCTCCTACCCTCTGTTGCCTAATTGGTCTGGCACCTGTCAGTCGCTGGGGAGAATCTCCCAGAAGGGGCAGGTGGAAGGACAAGAGAGGGGCAGGTGGAGGGACAAGAATGTGCCAGGTCAGGAGACAGGGGAGCAAGAGCCGCGGCCCAAGGGGAAGGGCGGGCCAGGCCTCATCGTGAGCAGTAAGCGGGTTTCTCCCAATCTAGCCTTTCTTTAGACTGATTTTGGTCACACCAGTTCATTTGCCCTGTGCCGGGAACATCACTGTCCCCCAGAGCCACCACTACAAAAGCAAACTAATTAGGAGAGAAAATCATCAGCAAAGGAAAAAAATTAAAATTATGTCTGCAAAGACCTTAGAAAAATAGTTAAGATTGAGCCTAAAATTCTATACCTATCTCAACAAATATCCATCAATGAAGCAAAAAGGATGAAAATATACTTAAAGAAATGACTGAGGTAATTTAACACTCGTTCTTTGTTTCTGGGGAAAAAAACTGCTAATAAATGTCCCTTTGGATAAATGACATTGATGTCATTGATGGAGTTGGTTATTAGAAGAAAAATGAACAAAGAAATTGAAAATTATGAATAAAATTAAGGAAGCATTGACTTATAAAACAGCATAATAATGATTAATGTTGGGGAGTGTAAAATAAGGTATAATAAAAATATTGGACAGTAAGAATATACTACCTGGAAAATTTCTTTAGCTCTTACATCAATGCCAGTCAAAGAGTGAAGAGATGCCTTCATGAAAGTGGGGCAGTGGATGTCACAGAGTCCATTTCAAAGATGGACTCATTAAAAAACACTTGCTGAGAGAGCCAACTTCAACTCAGTCAGCGGGTGCAAGCTCGGTGTCTGTGGCCAGGAAGAAATGTGGCTCTGGCCACTGAGTCAAGAACATATGAAGCTGGAACGTGGTCATCAGTGATGAACTGGACCAGTATAGGGTTTTGCGGAGGCCAAACACATAGAAAGTCCGTTTGACGCATGTATGCACAGCTGACACCCAGAAAATAAGTATCTTGCTTAGGGGTCCTCTGTCTCCCCTCCTGTTCCTTGGTATTTCTTTTCCTCCTTCCGTTCTACTCCAAACTCTGCTGCCGTCAGTAGAGGAACTATTAGGGGTGGGACCAAGGTCTTCCTGGTCCACTGTGTGCTGAATGCCATTCACTCACGTCTGATAGTGCTGGTGGATTTGGGGGAAAGGACGCAAGTTTTATGGATTCGTTGAATACCGCTGCCAAGCCACCATTCTGTGTGGCCCCGTGGGTTGAACTGGGGGAAAACCAAAATTCAAATGATGGGCGTGGGCAAGGTTTTCAGTGGGAGAAGGAAGCTAAAGGAGTGTGATCGGGGCCCTTAGGGTAGATTTACTCTGCTGTTATACTAACTTCTGTTCTTGAGTGTAGTTGGTATTTATGTTTTTTTTGTTTCCACTGTGAAGGCTTGTTAAGTTCCAAAGGGGAAACTTTTGCCAGGGAAATAGCCACCTACAGGGATGCGCTTCACCCAGTAGCCATGTATGGGAAGGCCCCTTTACCCACGTGATCACTGCTGACAGAAGTCTCTGACAGATGTCAATTGATTGGAGCTCTGGTAAGAGGAGGTAGCCTTCCAGTTTAACCTGGTGTGTTACACTTGTCGACTTCCTCAAGTAACTTCCAGGTCCATCATTTTTGAAAAGCAGCCCTTGGCTTGCTGCTGGACTTGTAGAAATGGAATGCCTGGTCCCTGGAGGCTTGCGACTCTTGTGCCCAGTTAGCCCCGTTTTTGTGGGTCAGCTGGGACTCAATGGCTAATAAGGTGGAGAGAAATAAATCTCAACAAGTGGAAGTGGCACACTGAAAAAAACAGCTGCCTGGTACCAGGAGCTCTTGTCTTTCTGTAAAAAAATGGCAGCTATTCCTTTTAGGTTACCTTTAATCCCCATTGTGCTACTTGAAGCAAGCTGCTGAGTCAGTGAGACATCAGTCGGTGGCCCTAAATGCTTTGCCTTGCTTCTCTGACGGTTTGGACAGGCCAGAGCCAGATGGTGTCCACTGGGCTGCTGTGGGTGGTTTCTGTCCCATGGGAGGAAGCCAGGCTGTTATCACAGCTGTGGTCTGCGCTCCTCTTGACAAACTTTTTATCTTTTTCTCATTCTTGGGCTCTCAGACCTATGTCTTTGGTTTAACACTCAGAAAAGTACAAATTGCATATGAAAAGGGGTTTCTCTGGGGCTGTAGTCTTTGGAAGCAAACAGGACATGGGTCATTCTTGTCGATGTACACGGTGAGGGCTGGTTGCATGATGAGACCAGCTGGAATCCAGCTACCGATCAAGCCTGCATTACCCAGACTGTTTCATTGCTGCCTGGATCCCCATCATGCTGGACATTACAACACACACACCATCATACCCTGGGCATGTAGTAAAGTGTCCCACCTGTCTGACACCCACATCACCACTGCTTGCCAAGGTGGTGATTCCAGTCAAGTGCAGACTGGATTTGTTTGTGCTGAAGGAAGTTGCAGTTCACAGGGCATGGCTCCTGTGCAGCCCTGGCAGATGCACTGTCAGTCCCTGATCCCCTCTTGAGGCAACTAGAAGCCTTCACAGCCATGGACACTTTTTAAGTCACGATGCTGCTGTTCCTGTTCAATCGTGCATGCTGGACACGCAGCTTCTTCGAAGCCCATCTGTGTCATGT